CTTTGATGTACGAGAGTGAGTTAGAGATTACCTTTGTTAACTCTGAGATCAACTTTGATGAACAAAAGTGAGTTAGAGATTACATTTGATAACTCTAAGATTAACTTTAGATGTCTCTGAGACAAACTTTTATAACATAGAAATTAACTTTAATGACCAAAGTGAGTTAGAGAATACCTTTGATGACTCCGAGAATAATTTTGATAGCTCTGAGAATGACTTTTGCTGTCTTGGAATAACTTTTGATTGTTCTGAGAATAACTTTTGTTGCCTTGGAATAACTTTTGATTGTTCTGAGAATAACTTTGAGGGCTTAGAGAATGTCTTTGATGAATGGAAGAGTCCCATTGAAGTCTTAAGGATGTCTTTGATGTCTCGAAGGATGTCTTTGAGTGTAACTTTGGTGTCTTTGAGTAAGTCCTTAATGTATTGAAGAGTGTCTTTGATTTCTCAAAGAGTAACTTTGGTGTAAAGGAGAGCACCTTTGGCTATTTTTCTTACTTAGCGATATATAATTTTAGTTACGAAAGTGTTGAAAAAGTTACATTTGACTCTTTTAGTTGAGGAAAAAGACAAAATATGACGAGGGAGACTATTTTTGTGCTCCCCAAAGTATAATGTCAGTTAAGAACAGCGATGAAAGATATCTTTGACTATATTTTCTTACTTGACAAAACATAATTTAGTTAAGCAAAAAGACAAAACATGATGAACATGGCTTTTTCTGTTGATTGATGGATAATTTTAGTTATGAACAGTGCTGAAAAGATTCCTTTGACAATTTTTAGCTAAGCGAAAGGCTGTTTTAGTTAAGAACGGTGTTGAATGAGGTTAATCCTGACTATTTTCAGATGAGAGAAGTGATATTTCAGTTAAGAAATGACAAGGAAACATGATGAAGTAACTATTTTTTAGTTGACCGATGAATACTTTTAGTTGAGCAAAAGCCAAAACATGATGAACATGACTTTTTCTGATGATTGGCAGATAATTTTAGTTATGAAATGACAATGAAACATGAAGAACACGGTTATTTTCTGATGAATGGGGAATATGTTTAGTTAAGAAATGATGAAAGTTATTATTTTTAGTTGATTGACGATGGATAAAAGCTAGTTATGAACAGTTTTGGAAAGTTTCCTTTGACAATTTTTTCTTGATGAAACATAGCGCCTGTTAAGAAAGTGCTGAAAAAAGTTTCCTTTGACAATTTTTAGCTAAGAGAAAGGTTGTTTTAGTTAAGAACAGTGTTGAACGAGGCTATTTCTGACTATTTTTAGTTGACTGGATAATAAGTTTAGTTGAGAAATGACGAAAGTGACTATGTTTTAGTTGATTGGTGAAAGATTTTTTAGTTAAGGAACGTTAGATAACATGTAAGGGGAAAAACCCAGAGAACATATGGGGAACATGGCAAAGAACATATGTAAGAAAAGTTGATGAATACAGTGAACATGAAAACATGATAAGGAGAATAGGGAATACAAAGAATGAATAATGGACTTGTGAAGAACATGGAGAATATGACAAAGAATGTAGAAAACATGTAAGTGAAGGTGAAAAAAACGAAGTGATCTTGTGAGGAACATGAACTTGTAGAGGAACATGAATATTGCAAAGAACACAAAATATGGAAGTTAGCATGAATATTGAGTATAAAAGTTGTAAAGAGAACATGTGATGAACATGAAAACATAGAAAATATGACTAGAATTTGTAGAGAAAGTAATGAGACTAAGAGAAAGATTACAGAAAAATGGAGATACTTGTGAAAATATAAACTGAATGGGACTGTGAACATTTGAAGAACATGGAGTGAACATAGAAAACATGGACAAAATGTGAAGAACACAGCTGAATATAGAGAAAATATGCAAATACAGTATGATTATTGAAGGTTTGGATACGTTGGGGATGAGAAGGGTAAAGTAAATACTCTGATAAACAGATAGGCTGAGAGGGACTTGATCGAATATATTTATGTCTGATGATCTAAGGCTGAGGAAATGGAGCTTGGTTAATGCCCCGATTAATTTTACTACGTTAGAAATACGGTGATCTTAAATCTCAGGGTGATTTAGTTGGAAAATAAAGAACTTGTACAAATGAACTAAGCTGGGGCACAAGAGTTGAAACTTGATAACTGACTTGATCTTATTTACTATGTCTGAAAATGTAGTTGAGTGTTTAAATCTCAGGGGGATTTGGACTGATAGTAATGAATTTACCGGAGTGAACTTGGATAGAGGACAAGAGCTAGAGTTTTATAATTGTTTTCATCATATTTACTATGTCTGAAATACAGAGGGTAAAAATTTTGGGGAAATTGATGGTTTATTACAAAGATATGAAAGAGAACTAAGGCGGGGACGAGAGCTGGAGCTCAGTAACTGACTTGATCTTATTTACTAACTTTGAAGTATGTCTGCTTTTAATTTTAGGGAAATTGATGGGTTATTTACAAAGATACGAAGGAGAACTAAGGCGGGGACGAGAGCTGGAGCTCGATAACTGACTTGATTTTATTTACGGTGTCTGAAATACAGAGGGTAAAAATTTCAGGGAAATTGGTGGTTTATTTACAAAGATATGAAAGAGAACTAAGGCGGAGGACAAGCGCTGGAGCTTGGTAACTGTTTTGATCTTATTTATGGTGCCTGAAATACAGAGGGTAAAAATTTCAGGGAAATTGGACTGTTACTAACGAAGATACGAGAGAGAGCTAAGGCGGAGGACAAGCGCTGGAGCTTGGTAACTGTTTGATCTTATTTATGGTGCCTGAAATACAGAGGGTAAAAATTTCAGGGAAATTGGACTGATACTAACGAAGATACGAGAGAGAGCTAAGGCGGAGGACAAGCGCTGGAGCTTGGTAACTAAATTACTGTATTGAACTACGTTTGAAATATGATTATTTTTAAATTTTAGAGGGATTGGAATGATAGTATTCATTATACGACAGGGGACTAAGGTGGGGGAACGTGAGCTAGAACATGCTTACTAACATGATTTATTTGTGTAAAACTGACTTGCTTAATGAAAAGGAGAAAACATACGATGTTGGAAAATAGTTGAACTGAACTGAATGAAAGGAGAGAGAGAGAGAGAGGAGGGAGAGAGAGAGAGGAGGGACGGTCCAGATATTATGAAGATAAGATAAGATTAAGAGCCGACTGGCTGTCCGGGCGTAAAGTAAATAAAGGTGACGCGAGAGATTGCGAGGTAAGGGGGGAGGGAGGGGGGTGTGAGGTACGAAACACTGAAAACCATGACTTACACAGGTGATTTTCTAAATTTATATGAAAACTATGGCTTACACAGACGATTTTGTAAGTTGAAAACATGTAAAATATGTCCGTAGAGTTCTCCTGGAAGCCCTAAAGTGCTACACGTTACGTTATAAGGCCTTGAATTTCTCCCATAAGGCTTTAACAAACTTCTAAGTCTCGGAAATTATTTTTCTCATAAGAAATCCTTACTTCTAAAATCTGCGACTGACAAAATTTACCTGAAAACCCCCAAGCGCTATACACGATTTTCTAAATTTACCTGAAACCCTTGGGGCGCACAGGGGATATTCTAAATTTACCTGAAACCCTTGGGGCGCACAGGTACCTTTTTTCCCAGAAAAAAAAAGGAGCCTGTGGCTCTTACTCCCTACTACTGTTGTGCATTGTTATGCCCCACATGGGTGAAAAAAAAAATTGTTTTCTGTCCTAAGTTGTGGCTTGTTGAACCTGAAATCGTTGTTCGTTGTTTGTAATTGATTGATGAAGATTAAGCCACCAATGAGGTGACACGGCCATAAACAGCCCATAACCTAGTTTGTGTTGTTGCTGTTGTTTTAAATTCAGCTACACTGAACAAAAAGTTCCAAGCAGCACGAGCTATTGAGAGCCCGTAGTGGACTTGGCACAGGCGCGGGGCTGTAACCGCTTATTTGTGATTGATTGATGAAGATTAAGCCACCTAAGAGGTGGCACGGGCATGAATAGCCCGTAAGTGGTTTTTAACATTAATAGCCCAAATTAGCCCATCTTGCTTTTAAATTAGCCCAAAAAGTAGCAAGTAGCGAAATTTAAAAAATTGGGAGCGCGGAGCACTCAAAAGTAGCCCAATTCGCTACTTGTAGGCCAATCTGGCAACACTGGTGTGCGCCACTCAGTCGACCCAGCCGATATTAGCACCCCTTAATACAGTGAACTCCTCATGTTGTCTTTAATTCTTTGATTGTTTTCAAATTCATCTGCATATAGTGAAGTAAAGCACGCGAAAGGTTTAGGTGATAATGTTTAAATTTAGTTAGTTTAATATTGTCCTGAACTTATATTAAATCAGAACTAATTGAAGTAATCTTGCTGGTTGTTAGTAATTAAGCTATTGTGGTGGCCTTAATAACCCTATACAGATATAGATTGATAGGCTTATATGAGCAACACCAGTTAAGCTAATTAATGTAAATGTTTATAAGCTTGTTAATGATAACTTGGATGGTGACTGGAGCAGTAAGAGTGGACTCTCATCTCTCCCTGCGGGTGTTGACAACAACACCTCCACTGCGACACCAGCATCCAGTAAACTATGCAGCCCAATGAATTAATATATAGGTCTATAAGTACTAATGTAATATTAATGTAAATCTGCCTTTAATGTACACATACTATAACACCATATATACAGCTGTTGTCATCCTCACTAATGTCAATTATAGCAGAATGTATGGCACCCGGCATTATCAAACTAAGAGTTGCATAATGCTATAAGCTGCAGCTGGCATCCCACCAGCTTCACGGCCAGACGACGGCCGGCCGGAACCGACGTCATGGCTTTGGAAATACAGTTAATAAACAAATGGCTTTCTATGTACTTGAATAAATTTAAAAAAAAACATACAATCTAAGATATACTGAAAGGGGGTAGTTTAAGCAACGTTTAGTTTGTAAGCTAAGAGAGGAAGAAACGTTCCCGAGACGGCAATATCTGGCAACGTTTGCTGGCGACTGTCAAAACGGATGACGTCATAGTCAGTGTAACTCCAGCCGTGCCGGGGGGAAGATGTCGGCCGTTGTTGTCTTTGCTGTTTTTCTTCTCATCTGTACAATCTTCAAGTTTCTCAACGTCACCAGCCCTCCTAGGCCTCCTCGGCTAGTATGCAGCGACTCCAAATTCCTAGAGCTCATATTAAAGTACTGCCCACAACTGAATGAAACGTAAGTACAGTTAAAACTTGAAAATGGTTGAGGTGTGAGACTAGCTCCTTCCTGTTGTATGTGTGTGTGTGGGTGGGGCTCCTGTTGTGTGTGTGTGGGCGAGGCTCCTGTTGTGTGTGTGTGGGTGGGGCTCCTGTTGTGTGTGTGTGTGTGTGTGTGTGGGGCTCCTGTTGTGTGTGTGTGGGCGAGGCTCCTGTTGTGTGTGTGGGTGGGGCTCCTGTTGTGTGTGGGTGGGGCTCCTGTTGTGTGTGGGTGGGGCTCCTGTTGTGTGTGGGTGGGGCTCCTGTTGTGTGTGTGGGCGAGGCTCCTGTTGTGTGTGTGTGTGGGCGAGGCTCCTGTTGTGTGTGTGGGCGAGGCTCCTGTTGTGTGTGTGTGTGGGTGGGGCTCCTGTTGTATGTGTGTGTGTGGGTGGGGCTCCTGTTGTGTGTGTGGGCGAGGCTCCTGTTGTGTGTGTGTGGGTAGGGCTCCTGTTGTGTGTGTGTGGGTAGGGCTCCTGTTGTGTGTGTGTGTGGGCGAGGCTCCTGTTGTGTGTGTGTGTGGGCGAGGCTCCTGTTGTGTGTGTGTGTGTGTGGGCGTGGCTCCTGTTGTGTGTGTGGGCGAGGCTCCTCTTGTGTGTGTGTGTGTGTGTGAGGCTCCTGTTGTGTGTGTGTGGGTAGGGCTCCTGTTGTGTGTGTGGGGTGGGTAGGGCTCCTGTTGTGTGTGTGTGGGCGAGGCTCCTGTTGTGTGTGTGTGTGTGGGCGAGGCTCCTGTTGTGTGTGTGTGTGTGTGGGCGAGGCTCCTGTTGTGTGTGTGTGTGGGCGAGGCTCCTGTTGTGTGTGTGGGCGAGGCTCCTCTTGTGTGTGTGTGTGTGTGAGGCTCCTGTTGTGTGTGTGTGAGGGTGAGTTCTATATAGTAGGTATATAAAAACACGGGCATTTTCGAATGGAATTTAGTCAAGTTTTCAAAGCAATCGGTAAAGAGGTTTCGGAGATTTCCCTCACTTGAAAATTCACTTAAAAAAACACATTTTCAAAAAAGCATGTCACAGATGTGACATCTATATAGTAGGTATATAAAAATACGCACATATTCGAATGAACGTCGTGTCAATTTCAAAGCAATCGGTGAAGAACTTTCGGAGATTAGCGATTTTGAACAAAACTAACATTTACATTTCTTTATATAAATTTATTTATTTACTTATATACAAGAAGGTATATTGGATTTATTAGTGAACAGAGACTTGAAGTTTTACATTCTTGTAAAGCCACTAGCACGCATAGCGTTTCGGACAGATCCTTAATCTAACGTAATTTTAAGAAGATAATTTCTTGCAAAATTAAAAAAAAATGTTTGCAGGTACATTGTAAGAAAAGTATAAAAATACATTGTAAATAGGTATAAAAATGCATTGCAAGAAAATATATAAAAATACTATATAAGAAATTTGAAAAAAAGTAGGTACATTTTAGCATAATTTGAGGATTATTACAAGATATAATGAAGCAAACTGTATGTGTAACATGATATAAGATAACAGCAATGGTTACGATGGTAAAGTTGTATGGCATAGGTGCATATATTGGGGAATTGGGTAGCACTAAATACAGTGCGAGTTTCAAGTACTATTTAGGAAACTATGAAGATGAAATTAGATTCTTTTTTGGATTTATTTTTGAATAAGGCAAAAGTTTGAGAGCATTTCATTAACTTTTCAGCTTTTCATTTCAGGAAATTAATACACATTTCCTTTCAACAGGTAACTTTATATTTCCAAAACTAAGATGCGTGTTATAAATAATCTCTTGCTAGTATCGCTTATTGGACAAGATAATAATACTAATAGGCTACTGCTGAAGCTCTATATTATGTTGGACTATCGAGATGCCTTTGACGCACAAGCTATTGTGGTTCGTAGTTAGTAGTTAAGACTAGCAGAAAACGAACGTGCATGCGTGATATATAGTGATGGAGCACTAAACATTAAAGGGGGATGATTACCAAACCATACACTAGAAGGTGAAGGGACGACGACGTTTCGGTTCGTCCTGGACCATTCTCAAGTCGATTGTCACAATCGACTTGAGAATGGTCCAGGACGGACCGAAACGTCGTCGTCCCTTCACCTTCTAGTGTGTGGTCTGGTCAACTTACTTTAGCCACGTTATTGTGACTCATCGCCTGCATTAAAGGGTGGATTTTTTTTTGTGGAGCTTCACTTCAGCTTTCCATGAAAGTACTGACGCTGTTTGGGTTTAATTTCTGAGCATTTGATGTCTTCCGCAACGGCTCACTTGATTAATTAATGGAAAGGTCAGAGTATATATTTTGTGGCTGTTTTTAGCATACATGGATCATCAATATTTTTTGGCAACGTTAGCATGCGTTGATGGTAATTAATGAAGCTGGTGAATGTACTGGAATATAGACCACAAATGTAATGTACGTTAGGCTTATATCGAGCCCCCCCCCCCTCCTCCGCCACAGGTCGAATTACTGACTCTGCCCAGGCTGCAACCCCATAGCAAGCTGACTAACTCCTGAGTACCTACTCACTGCTAGGAAAACAGAGGCATTAGGTGAAAGGAAATGTGCCCAACCATTTCTGTCCCGCCCAGGATTCGAATTCGAAATTCTCGATTGTGCGTCGAGAACGAACCCGACTGTACTACTGGGACCCTTGTGAGTATTAGTATGAGACGTGCCTCACATTATATCTAAGTTGGAACATTTTTCATTCTCATTATATTCCAGCTTACTGTTGCTGCTTTTAATTGTACCCCTACTTGGGGTTCACTGGGAATATCCCAAATCTTACATGGTACTTTTACCTCCAGGACAATTCTAGCATTATACGAAACTCCTCCCCTTCCCCCCCCCCCCTCTTTGCAACATATAAGGGGGAGGAATCTCTACTGTATAACCTATTCATCCGATCTTTACCGACATTATAATGTGTACATAGCTGCCTCTGTACATAGAATAAGTGATCACCTTTCAATGATCACTTATTCATTCACACTACACTCCTCAACGTCTGTATAATGTCTTCCCAGATGATTTTGATTAGTTTATTGTGCACCCCATACTCATCCTGTGAGCGGTAGCGCAAAAGCATTACAGAGGGCACAAAAGGTCTTTATCAGACCTCATCTTAGATTATTTCATAAACAATTTCATGGAGACAGGTCCTGGATAGACTAGGGACAACGGATGGGCAATTTCGACAAAAAGTTAATGAGTTTCGCAAAGAAAATAAAAGCACAACATAATTCACTACACACTGTCATGTTCATGATACACGCATCTATATATTTTGGGGGAATTTTCATTGAGCGTTTGACAAGACAAATGGGATAATTACACTTGACTATCACGCACACCCTCAGAAGAAATCAGCCAGCAAGGATAAAAGAAACGCCCCCTTAAGAAGGTGGACTGAGCTAGTTGACCAGACCACACACTAGAAGGTGATGGGACGACGACGTTTCGGTCCGTCCTGGACCATTCTCAAGTCGATTGTCACAATCGACTTGAGAATGGTCCAGGACGGACCGAAACGTCGTCGTCCCTTCACCTTCTAGTGTGTGGTCTGATCAACTTACTTTAGCCACGTTTTTGTGACTCATCGCCTGTATTGAGCTAAAAATTACAAGCTGTCATATACTCATTTATGTTGATATGCTCGAGTAAATTATGCTCCAGCACACGAGTTATTTTTACTCACCTATTTTGGCAGAGTTATCATGTAATTCATCTCATAACATTGACTAAGGGGCCACTAATGATTCAGATGTTTAATTTCTGAATCATTGAAACTTAATCATGATTGAAACTTAAGAAAATTTCAAATTGTCTTAGTGCATGATATGTACCCGAGGATGAGGTGAAGGTGATGAGGTGAATGTGACGAGATGAAGACAGGCATCACTTGTAGGTTCACTGTATCTTGTCACTCTCCTCCACACATCTCCAGTATCATTTTTTGATACTGGTAATGGCTCAAAAGGGCCACCACTTACGGGCTATTCATGCCCGTGCCACCTCTTGGGTGGCTTAATCTTCATCAATCATCAATCTTGTCACTCTCCTGTTTGCATGAGGGCTGGTGCAGTATGATGTGTGTTCTGTTGTGTTCAGGAAATTGACAGTGTCATTTGGTGCTATTGATGCGTGACTTGGTTAGTATAATGCCTTGCTTTATGTCGGTTATTTTGTTGTTGCCAGTCTGTCTGGTTATGTATAGGGACTACATGTTCCTTAATAGGGTCTTGTTGCCTGTGCATTGTTAGGTGTCTTGAAAGAGATGTTGTCTTGCGTATATTTTGAATTTGTTGGGGCTAAAAGTGGGCATGTGAAGGCATAGACAACATCGTCTCATTTTCATTTTTATTATTCATTTCGACTTTTTTTTTTGAGAGAGAGAGATATATATACAAGAGTTGTTACATTCTTGTACAGCCACTAGTACGCGTAGCGTTTCGGGCAGGTCCCTGGAATACGATTCCCGCCGCGAATTTAATTTTTTTAAATTTTGCCCCGAGGGGCGAGTTTATTGGGCAGCGCCACTCAAGCTCGGTTTCTCCGAGAATTGGGTTTTAGGCTCATTGACGCTAACAGAGACCCAAGAGCTGCCAATTTCCAGTTTCAGCTCATCGGTGTTGACGACCCATAGAGGAAGCGCTGGCTGTGTCCTCGGTTTCTGTCCGGAAACTGAGGAGCTCCAAAACCTCAAACCTTTCAGTGGACAACTGAATTTACTGTGACATTCTCGTAGATGTTTGTAGATAAGTAGACAGCCCCCGTGGTGTAGTGGTTATGACGCTCGCCTGGGGTTCCACCAGCTTTGTCCTGGGTTCGTATCCTGGCCGGGGAGGATTTACTGGACGCAAATCCTTAACTGTAGCCTCTGTTTAACTCAACAGTAAAATGGGTACCTGGTTGTTAAACGATTCTTCGCGGGGGTCGTATTCCAGGGACCACAGGATTAAGGACTTGCCCGAAACGCTACGCGTACTGGT